TCACCAAGTCTTGGGTGAGAAATCTGAGACCCGTGATCTTAGTTTGATGGACATAATGTTCCCAGTCTTTGAGATGCTCAGTTTACATGGGTCATTTTTAAGTCCATCTTTTTCCTCTCGCATCTGACGTTGAGCAGCCAGGAGAAACCATGCAGCCCCTTTAAGACCTTACTTCGAAATCTACTCGGTCAGATATTTAAGTAGAGAAAGCATTGAAGGAAGATTACGCTTGCAGTTGGACAATTTGTAAAATCAGATGGCTCCGAAGATGAGAACGCCTTCAATAGAGGAGCCATTTAAAGAAATCGTAACTATTCGTCATGCGTGAGAACTATAAGTCGGGTGTCAGTTAAACTAAACCCTTACAGACCTGGAGCTGGCCTAGGCAAACATTTTGCCCAAGTAGGTTTATATCTTTTTAGGAGGAGGACAGCTTGTGCAAAAGCCTTCCTTCTGAAAGCAGCGCTAGTCCCGCCCCTCCCCCTTCTCCCCGAGTAAGGGCAGGTTAACCGATGACAGTTCCCCTGGCCTCGGTGCTCCTGATTTTCTCATGTCTGTTCATAGAAGCTCTGGTGGGATGGTGGGTTATGTGTTGGAGTGCTAGCCTTAAGGTTAGTAGTTCAAAACCACCAGTTGTTCCACAGGAGAAGACTAGTCTTTCTACGCCTGTAAACAGTTGCCGTCTCAGAAACCTGCGAGGGCAGTGCTAACCTGTCCTATGAGGTCAAAGTGAGTGGGAATCGATCCGATGGCAGTGAGTGGTTGTTTTTGTTTTTGCTTCGGCTTAGTATAATACTAACCCGAGCTCGGTCTGCCTCTCTTATAACAAGTGCCTCGATTTGGGGGGCTCATTCACATATTCAAGTTTATCCTTGCAAGGTCTACCTTCTAGCAGACATTGGAACATAATCAGGACCCTTCTCCCATAGTCCAATCACATGTTAATCATTTCCTTTTGAAGCCCGACCAGAAGTCTGCTTGAAGTCCAAGGGAAACACTTGTGCGGCTCACTTCCTTCTGAGCCTTCGCCAGAATTGCCTTTTATGTGCATCATTCTACCCACCATCTCTTCAAGGCAATTCCGATTTCTACTAATAGACACAGTACAATTCTTCCAGCCTCCACCCATTACTCAAGTTCAAAACCACATCCACATTTTAGGTCTGTGTAAGAGCAAAGGCCCACTCTTAGTTAACAAAGTCTGTCTTTGTTACCTAGTGCTGTTATAACAGAAATGCCACCAACGAGTGCCTTTAATAAACTAACTGGTTTTCTCACAATTCAGGGGGCTAGAAATGCGGACTCTGGATGCTGGCGATGAGAAGGCTTCTCTCTGTGTTAGCTCTGGGGCAAGGGCCATGGCTCTCACAGCTTCTGCTGGGCTGCCTACTGCACGGTCAGCAGTTCAAAGTCACCAGCCGCTCCGCTGGAGAAAGTTGGAGCTTCTAATTCTGTCAAGGGCTAAGGGTCAAAAACTCACAGAGCCAGTTCTACCCTGTTAAGGTCATTATGCATCGGCATCGACTCCATGGTGACAATGAGTTTGGTTTGGGTTTTTTCCCTTTGGCTTGACATATCTCTTCCCCTATCTGTACTTTCCACTCCGTCTGCTTACTCTTGCTCTTCTCTCTCTCGAGGGAGATTGATTTGAGACACACCTTACACGAATACAGCCTGGAGAGCGTGGCAATGACAACGCCTTCCCAAAGGGGATTAGAACCTCGGGCATATGGGTTAGGCTCGACAGCTCATATTTTGGAGCAATTTATAACAGACACAATTCAGAAGGGTGTCTGCTTCAGTATGACTCTGTTACTTCCCTGGTCAGATCTGCACAGGTCACAAGGAGTGGGGCTGGGGTTAGGACGTGGAGGGATATTTGGAGGGGCACAAGTCAACCCAGAACAGCCACTAGATTGTCAGGCCTCCCCTGGTTTCATGCAGGAGAGGTGAGCATGACCAAAAGTCACAGCACCTGCCAGCAGACCAGCGCTCTTCAGCTCCTTGTTTCAGTTGATTTGTCTCCCAGGTGCGTTCAGGGTTGGGACGCAGGTCCAGCTGCGAATATTCCCAAGGAATCAGCCAAGTGGTCTCTCAAATACAGAGAACCGAAAGGAAGATTTCAGCTCCCAGAAGGCTTATGCCATGTGTAACACAACTTGTTTAAAATGCATTGTCACTGTGAAATTGCCTTCCAATGCTAGAGAAAGCCCTGGCCTTATTCTCAG